CATGAATAGAACCATAATGAATAAGGTAAGGTGCATGTTAAACGAATCAGGTTTACCCAAAAGATTCTGGGCAGAGGCTGCTGCCACTGCATGTTACTTGATAAATAGGTCCCCATCATCAGCCATAGATTTTAAGGTCCTTGAAGAATTATGGTCTAAGTCCCCACCAAAGTATGATCACCTAAGGCCATTTGGTAGCATTGCATATGTGCATGTTACTTGTTAGTCAAGGTAAACTTAATCCCAGGGCTAAGAAATGTGTTTTCTTAGGATACCCTTTAGGTGTTAAAGGTTATAAAATTTGGTTGATTGAAGAAAAGAAATCTGTCATTAGTAGAGATGTTATTTTCAATGAGCTTGTGTTTTATAAGACTAACATGCAGGAAAGACAGCAAGAAAATGATCCAGGAAATTTACAATTAGAAAACACTCCAGAAAGCTTGAATGATTATGGTGATAAACTCACTGGCTCATTTGAAAAAGATGTTGAGGAACCATAAATAAATGATCACAGCCTTACTGAGCAAGGTGGAGCTACTCGGATCAATTCTAGCATCAGTGAACAAACAAACCAACAAGATCAGTCCATTTCAAGCCATGAGCTAGCAAGCCAAGAAGAAGAAGACCTTAGAGATTATGTGCTGACCCGAGACAGACCTAGAAGACAGATCAAGCCTCCTCCTAGATTTGCACAAGCGGATCTCATTGCCTTTGCACTAAACGCAGCGGTTGAAGTGAAGCAGAGTGAACCCAGCACAGTAGCAGAGGCGAAAAACAACTCAGAATGGATGTATTGGAAGGCAACAATGGTTGAGGAAATGAGGTCCTTACAGAAGAATGAGACCTGGATCCTAGTGGGGAAACCGAAGAACCAGAAAGTTATTGGGTGTAGATGGATTTTCAAAAAGAAGCCTGGTTTTTTCCCTCTCTTTCTTCACTTGGCCGGCCATGCTTAGGGAAATTATAGCCAAATTTTGGTTAGTTGAGTGTGCTAGAAGATTTCATGATGAGATGAATCAAATCAACTATTTGACAAGAAGGCTTACTTCACTTCTCTCATGAAGCTTCCAACCGGCCAAGCAAAGGGGAAATTAACCCAAAAACTTTGCTAATTAAGCTAGCTTGATAGGCTTAATTAAGAACTAAGATGAGATCAAACAAAGTCTATAAATGTTAGACCATTAGTGCAAGCATTAGGTTAGCCATTTTGCACATTTCCTCTATTTTTCCACACACCAAAACCAGCCATACTCCACCCATTTCCTCTCAAAATTTTCTCTCACTCTCCTAACCTTAAGCCACTAGCAAACAATAGAAGAAGAAAAAGAAGATCAAAGTGTTCTAGGAGGAGTCTAGTCAAGCATTTCTCCAAGGATATAAACTCTAAACCATCTCTTTGTTATGTTCTAGCAAAGTTTGAGACTTAGAAATATTCCTCTCAAATTTTCTTATACTCTTCTAGTTCCAAGCCATTAACAAACCTTAGAGGAAGAAGAATGTGATCAAGGGTTCTAGGAGGAGCCTAACCAAGGATTTTCTTCAAGGGTATAAATTCTAAACCTTTCTCCTCTATTTTCCTAGCAAAAATTAAGTTGTGGATCAAGGATGTAATTTGTGGTTCTTGAGGAAATAAGTTGTAATAAGGGTGTGTGATTTTTATGTTGGTTTTGTGTGTTTTGAGGTTAGTTTGATTAGTATTATGTGGTATGTTTAGGTTTGGTTTAAGTTTGCTTATTTTGGGTTGTAGGAAAAATTTTCTGGTTACTTTGAACGCGAAAATGAGGACCCTAGAGCGAGATTTTTCAGCATTTCTAAACTTAAACTTATGGTTCTTGATGTTTTAAACATTTTTCTGTGACTGTGACAAAACCTGATTTTAACTCTAAAAGTAAGTTTAAAGCCATTTTGCAAAAACGGTTTAGGCTGTCCAACACAGTTTCGGGAAAAAAAATAGCAGCAACTGTTTTCAACCAAACGAGGCCTTTAGAGACTGAATTTCAGTTTTATCTAAAAACGACAATTTTAGATCTCGATGAGATGAAGAATTGTTGTGAAGAACAGATTTTTGAAATCCGACTCTAAGATGCAGAAAAATACAGATTTCAGAAACTGCACAGTTTTAACTAAACAAAACTAACACAGTGTGATTTTTAACAGAAGGTTATCAAAGAACCTGATATGTGATTTCAGTAAAACACTATGGTGTTAAACCTCGTTTTAACGGAAATGTTCGTAAAGAAAGTTTTCAAGAAAAATAGTTTTTTTTAAGAACTTAATGGTTTATCGAGCATATAATCCCGATGGGCACCTACGAGCCCAATACGTTAGGTCCTTAGAATTTTGAAGATTAGATGTGGGTCCAACGCCCGTATTAATTCAAGAGACCCCGTTTGAGTTTAAATTTCAACGGTCTAAGAGTTAGAACGCCGCGATTAAATTTCTAGGAAGAATTGGGCCTTAATATCATAATAAGTCCAATGAGGTAGATTATGGAGAATAAGTTACTGGATTGGGTAATTGATTTTCAATCTAGGCAAGTGGAGGATAAGGGCAATTAAAGAAAATAAGATTGTTAGGATTTAATAAATTGATCCTTATAGTTAATTATCCTTCATTAAAGGAGAGGAATACATGCCTTAAGGAAAGGGTTAGATTTCCTTCATAAGTTGCTAAAGTAGAATAGCAAACGACAGTTAATCTCACACTCTCAATGTGTGTTCATTTTCAGAAGTAAGCAAGTAAGAGAGTAGGCTGTTTGACGAAAAGAGAATTCCAGCTCTGTAAAATCAAGTAAGTAGGAATCTCGCCTACAATATAAATATATTTTTAAAATAAACAGTACACATGAATTATATGTGTTTGAGTACATTTAATGTTATGTATGCTATGCTAGGTCATACTGCATACACTTAAGCATTGCACATGAATTATATGTATTTGAGTACATGTTATGTATGCTATGCTAGGTCATACTGCATACACTTAAGCGTTGCACATGAATTATATGTGTTTGAGTACATTCCATGTTGTAGTATGCTATGCTATGTCATATTGCATACACCTTAATAAGTCAAGAGGAACTTATAAGAGTAATATCAGTTGAGTGTCGTACCAGCCTCTGAGAGGGAGGTAACTCAGGCTCCGCAAGGGAGAAGAAAAAAAAATATAATAAAGTCCTCTGAGAGGGAGGCATTCGGTTTAGTTATAATCACGGTGACGTTGGGGATCTTGCAAACCCTCACGTTCCGATGATTGCGCGCAAGTGGTACGAGCATCGGGCCCATAAGTAAGTAAGATAAGATAAGATAATAAGAATTCAATAAGACATGATCATAATTAAGCATAATTGGCTAATGCATATTTATTTATGTGAACTTACAGTTATTTTACGAGAGATAGTTCCTACTTGCTGAGCGAAAGCTCATCATAAAATATTTATACTGTAGGTAAGCAACATGCATATAATACTTGATGGACTGACGGCGAATGGATAAACGATGTGGAGATCAGGGAATGAATACCGCTCGCAAATATTTCCGCAATCAGTTTTACATTATAAATAGTTTTGCTAATTATAATTCTAAAACTATATGTTAAATGGTTTTGTGGATTATGGCTGTTAGTAAGCAGGACTTACGGAGTAAGTATATACATATAGATATATCTATAAGCTTTGAGAAACAAATAAGTTAAGGTTTGAATATTTTGATTAAGAAAGCAATTCGTGACATATGTCTACTATAAGACTTAAAAAAAAAAAGTTCCGTAAATTTTAATAAATTTCAGTAAGTACAAGTTAAAATTCAGTTACATGACGGTCACTGAGGAGGGTCATCACAAGTAAAATAGTTTTCTCTCATGTTGTTTGATAGAAGAGAAAGAAAAGTGAAAAGAAAATGTTAAATTTAAGACATTTTACAATAATACCCCAATACAAATAAAAATATGATGAATGGTGAATGTTAAAATTATTATTTTACATCTCATTTTTTTATCAAACTTTTTTTCTCCTCTTTTCTTCCCAAAGTTGGAAAGATTAAAAATTAGCAGGCTCCATGGATTTTTATTTTCCTTCATTTCTCATTTCTTCTCTACCAAACAACTTAAAATTTCATTTTCCTTTACAAATTCCTTGCTCTATTTTTTTCTTCTCTTTTCCACTCTACCAAACACACGGTTAAAGACACAAGTCGGATAGATTGAATTAGACTCTAAAATTTCCTCAATCTAGCTAAAAATTTATACTCGTATTTTTAGCGTTGGTTATACTAGAATTATTTTCATTGATGGCCTTCAAGAATATATTTGTCTTAATTTAATTCTGGACATTCACTTGGATTTTACTACTTTAACGTTTGAATTAATTGCAAAATTAGTCATTCCATATCTCTGTCAAATAATGGACCGACATTCACTTTGCTTTTACTTCTTTAACATTTGAACGAATTTGCAAAATAGTCGTTCCATCATCTTTCAAATAATGGACATAAAGTTGCATGGGATGCTTTTATAACTATTTTGAAGCGTTTTAATAATCATAAAACATATTTAAAAGAATATATTTTTTATTTCTAAGCGTCAATCTAGGTCGTCGACATCGCGGGGAAGGGGGTTGGGTGGGTGGGGGACTGGTCACGGCTGTGTTGTTGGGAAAGAAAGTTGGCCGCATCGCCGTTGTCCGGCCGCATCACCGTTGTCCATTGCAAGAGAGGGAAGGGACGTTGGGTCACTGAGTGGCAGATTGCCTCTGGGGGGTGGGTGGGCTTACAGGTTGATGTTGGGAGAGGGGAGGAAATTATCAGAGTTCAAGACTGTATTTAAACCTCCTCAATATGTTAATGTCATGGCTCAAAGTAAGACAAGTGGCTATCATCCAATTGGTGAAAATAACTCTAGATAATACTTTTTCTGAATTTTTTTAGTCTAGGTCATCCATCAGCAACGGAAACCCTTATTTTACTTGACAAGAAATCGATATATCAAACGTATGATCACAAAAATTTGAATTTAAAAACTTGAACCACGCCCTTGCAGGGAAAGGTTCTAGATCACATTGAGAACAAACTGTAAGGTGTAATGGTACAACCTCCAATTCTCCCATATTCGGTTGATAAATCTGTCTATTTCATAGTACTCTGTGAAATATAGAAACAAATGAGTCTCCAGTTAAATTAGGCTTAAAGAAACATTACATGGGAAGGACACGGGCCTTGTACATGCAAATATACGCCATATGCCAGTCACCTGAAATAAAAAATGCAGTTTATTAGTGAACAAGAATATAATTGGGCTGATTTAACCGTGCGCTAAGAAGATCTAGCTAACATTTTGCAGTTACTACAGTTCCAGGGAATATTTTGGATAAATCTTTTACCTCCTCCAGACAATTTCGTGATGTCTTCCTCCCGCCGTGGGATAGGATTATCATCGTCATACTCAATCCATTTCCCTAAGTCCAAAAAGGAGAAGTACCCATCAGTTGAAAATTTAGATCCAAACAAGCCTTAATGCAAATGGCTAGCTAGTCACTGTAGAGAACTCACCACTTTCTTGCTTGACCCAGGCAACATAATGGCCTGAATCAGCGCTCCGACCCTTGTGCGTCAGCACCGCAACCAAATCGTAAACTCCGGTGACTTGTGTCTCCTTCTGAGATTCAGCACCTGCGGCGAAGAATTAGCCAAACAGTGAGAAAGAGCAGGCACTAAAATGCGGGACCTAATGTCCCAAAGAAACAAACAAGTGGCTAAGATACGGAGTTGAGATTTACCCTGGTCGGATTTAGAATTCGATGGTTCTCCATTTCCATTTGATGATCCCTGTATGCAGATGATAGGTGAAAGATGGTTAATATATATATATATATATATATA